CTCTTAGGAAGTCAGAACTCGAAAACAAACTTCAGCGGCTCAGATAGCTCAAGTTTCCCGCAAATATTTAATTCTGTCGATAGACAATACTCAGTAAAAAACAAAGAAAAAAAAATGAAAAGCAGCTGCTGGGCAAAAAATATCTGTTTCTAAGAAAAAATACACACACACAAACACACACATACACACAAACACACACACACACCAACACACACACACACACCAACACACACACACACCAACACACACACACACACCAACACACACACACCAACACACACACACCAACACACACACACACACATACACACACACGTACACACCCAAGAGATCAGCAGAAAAGATTGCAGCCGGTCTATTCCTGTTAATGTGATAATGCGTTGTTGCAAAAAAAAACTATCAAAGAGTATACCAGGCCTTGTTTGCAGAATTTCCCCAGTATGCAAGTCCTCTTTTCCACATATTTTTTTTTTTACCAATTTTCTTTTCATAGAATCAAATTTTCCATATTTTCAGCCAAAAATTCACAGTTCTTGTATTTTTCATTATCACTGTCAACACAGATCCACAGATCACAAAAAAAAACTGATCCTTTTTTTCACAATTAATCGATGGTGCCATCTCGTTATCAGCATAAACTTGCGCAATCGTTCTTACCAAGACGGTTTTATCGAACCACTGCCGCCCCATTGATATCCATACGCGCTTTGCTTTCCCTCATACTCATTATTGTAGTACTGCAATTCTTTTTTTGTCAAAATTTTGTGTTCCATTTTCTGGAAATGCATTTTTGCGTAACTATTTCAATTATTTCACACAATACCATCGCTTGTTACTTGGACTGCTGGGCCACTAAGTGTTCGAAAATAGAAGAATAAAAGGATTTCACTTGAATGTCATGTGTATGAACAAATTTTATGGCCCCTACCTGTTCGGAAAATCGAATCACTCACAGGCGAGTCCATTTAGTCCAGATTTTTGAGTATGAATAAAAAAAAAAAAAATGCAAAAAAAGAAAGAGGACCTGTTGTCCAGTTGTGGGATAGTTGCTGCTACTGCTGCTGGCATTAAAACTCGTACTGGCATTGTATCCTGGATTAGCAGCATCCAGCGATGAAGCCGGATATCCAGATGCATACGGTGCAATGCCATCTTAAAAATACCGCGCGAATGAAACACTTATTAAAAACTATCAATCTTC